AAAAAAAAAAAAAAAAGAGATAAGTCATTGGTGAAGAGATCAATCGAGGAAACGATCTGGGCTCACTTGATGTGGAGATAGTCCAGCAGAGGAAACCCATAAAGGCCTGTCTAAGGTTGCCAATAAGCTTGAGAATACCGTATCGGCATATTATTGGCCTTTTTTCTTCATGACCTGTCCACAAAGTTTCTCTTTTTTTCTTTTTTTTTCTTTTTTTTTTTTTTGTGGTGAAAGATTTGTCCACAAAGTTGCCATTGTAGACTGGAACTGTAATTCTCACTGATTCCTTTCACAATCCTCATAAAGAAGAAGAAGAAAAAAATGTATCCTCATAAAGAAGAAGAAAAAAAAAATGTAGAATTTTCAACTGTGACCCACTAAGTTTGAAACTATGCATTCTGCCAAGAAAAAGGAAACTTAGTAAGCTCAATCCGTTTAACTGGAGCAGTCAACCTCGTAATTTGAAGAGAAGCTGGAGACATTATATAACATGCTACACAATTTTCTTAGCTCATTAATGCCAACAAATTGATATCCAGGATGTTTACTCTTACATTACATATACCAGCCTTTCACTTTTATTTTTAACATTTTTATTTCAAGTGATGATGCTTTACCGTCCCTGCAACGTTGAAATTGTTACTCCATTTGAAACACGTTCATGCTGGCTTGATGAAGCCTCTTCTTCTGGCAGATTCCTTTCGATGTAAAAACCAGGAAGTTTTGGTTGAGGCAATGGATTCTCACTGCCCAACATTAGAACCACTGATGACATATCTGGCCTGTCCTCTGGTCGTTTCTGAACACATAGCAAAGCCACATGAATGCAGCGTAGAACCTCAGAAACAGTGTAAGAGTCACCTAACATGTTGTCCATTACTTCCAATGCTCTTTCTTCCGTCCATAGTCTCCATGCCTAAAAATATTAAAAATCAAATATATGCATAGCATAGAAGGCCGAAAACAAACATATATGCATGGCATTGTTCAAGAAAGTAATATGTTGTTTCTTTATGCTTACGTGTCCAAGAAGATTATGATTGTGATCCGAGTGGTGAAATCCTCTGTTCTTCTTCCCACTTATGATTTCAATTACTATCACACCAAAGCTGAAGACATTAGATTTTATTGAGAAGTGTCCATCTACCGCATACTCAGGAGACATATAACCACTGCAAAAATGTCATTACAAGCAAAGTGAAAAATATGTGGCCTTAGATACAAATACCTATATTCTGCATTATATTCACTTCTACTTACTAAGTTCCAACAACTCTATTAGTTCTTGCTTCAGTTTGATCT